CTGGCTCCAAATTAATTTTGGAAAAACAGTCCATGTTTGTGGTGTTGCAACTCAGGGTGATAGAAATGGTGATGAATGGACTACAGTGTTTAAGCTGTCCTTTTCTGCTGATGGTATTACCTGGAAAACTTTCAGAGATAAACGAAACGTCGAAGTGGTATGATATATTTTGTACAGTTGAAAAAAACAAAACGTTATCCTTTTTTTTTCTTTCTTTCTTTCTCTCTCGATCTTTTGTTAAGGCTACAGTTTAAATTAATCAACGGTAAATTGAAAGATTGCTTTATCGTCACATAGACCAGATACTAAATTCACCTGTGTTATGATTGTCCACGTCATAACATTAACGGCTCGTTGATTTATCTGTAGAAGCGCTTTTTGAGCCCATGGGAGGCTGGTTTAAGTTTAAATGTTAAGCGACTCAAGAAAAACAAATCCACAGACAAAACGTTTTTAATCCTGCATATCGTATTCCTTATTTAGGAATTTCGCAGAAATGGTAACAGCTATACCGTTGTAAAACACAATTTACAAGTGAAGGTTTCCGCAAGGTACATCCGTTTTCACCCAATAAACAGGCATCGCTGGAACTGCCTTAGAGTGGAGGTGTATGCCGCATAATGGTAAGATGTTTTTTTTCTTCTTCTTCTTCCTGTAGAGAGAAAATACCAGGCTTATATTTGCTCTAGACCCTCCGAAACATGCTATTTTATTCTAATGTACCTTGCGCTTTTTGGTGAACAAAATGATTTCATGTGCACTTGGAAATCCATGGGACGTAATTAACTTGGCGACTTAGAAAATTTTATCGATCAAACATGACATCGCTCGACNTGCGCTTTTTGGTGAACAAAATGATTTCATGTGCACTTGGAAATCCATGGGACGTAATTAACTTGGCGACCTAGAAAATTTTATCGATCAAACGTGACATAGCTCGACAAAAAAGAGGCGAGGAACGCAACGGTACTGGAAGGATATTTTGTACTAAGTATGGATGAAAGCTGTAGCAAAATCACTAGCAAAGCCAATATATGTTTAACGTAAAGTAAGTTTATTGCACAACGACTTGAATGCTTAACAACTAATTTCCAGTGGTTTCTAGGACAAAAATAATGTAAATGTGGCACATTAGATAGCAGCGTACAACAAGGGAAACACGAGAAGAAAATAATAAAAACGACAATTACCCGAGCATTAGGATACAAGGCGAAAAAACGTAGGAAGCAGCATAAATGAGCACCTAACAGAATTTTCCCGAGATTTACATATAACGCGCGAATGTTAAACCACGTAAACATGACCCCGCTAGGCTTGTAAGGAAGTTCACCGCCGACAGGGCATTAGTTTCTACAAATGTACTAATAGATCTTAACTTTTTTGTTTTTTGATAAAATGTCTTAACAGGTGACAACCCAAACAGTAACTCAAGATGTCAGAGTGCCTGGATTTGTGCAAGGACTTACTAGTAACATAGTACAGAGCGTCACCTTGATTGTCTCTGATTTGTGCTTTTTTTGTTGTTGTTGTTTTTGTTTTCAATTACTTTTTTTGTTTGTTTTTGTTTGGTTGTTTGTGTTTTTTGTTTGTTTGTTTGTTTGTTTTTTGTTGCTTTTTGAGGAATTTCAGGGGTCTATACTAACGGGAGTGGCATCATAGGACATTGTCACTTATGAATAGCATGCAGTGGATTTATAATCAAATTTGGAGCGGATTTTAATTAAAATTAACGAACGGGTGTCGTCGTGTCCTTTGTCTCGTCATGCAATAAAGGCTTAAGTACTGCGTAGTAGAACGGTTTTCAATTGAGTGGCGTAAAACTAAACCAATTACGTACCGATTAGACTACTCAACCAATCTCCAACCGTAGCAAAAACAAAAACAAAACCAAAGTAGCTGCCTGATTACATCAAGTTCGGCCCT